AATAAATTTATTTTTGTTCATGTTTAATTCAACCTTCAGTAGTGTTGTGTTTGTATTTATCCTGCTGTGTTTGATTCAACCTTCAGTAGTGTTGTGTTTGTATTTAATCCGCTGTGTTTGATTCAACCATTGGTAGTGTAATGTTTGTATTCATCCTGCTGTGTTTGATTCGAGCTTCAGTAGTGTACTGTTTGTATTCATCCTGCTGTGTTTGATTCAACCATTGGTAGTGTACTGTTTGTATTTATCCTGCTGTGTTTGATTCAACCATTGGTAGTGTAATGTTTGTATTCATCCTGCTGTGTTTGATTCAACCTTCAGTAGTGTAATGTTTGTATTTAAGCCGCTGTGTTTGATTCAACCTTCAGTAGTGTAATGTTTGTATTTAATCCGCTGTGTTTGATTCAACCATTGGTAGTGTAATGTTTGTATTCATCCTGCTGTGTTTGATTCAGTCTCAGGTAGTGTATTGTTTGTATTCATCCTGCTGTGTTTGATTCAGTCTTAGGTAGTGTATTGTTTGTGTATGTTTTGAATAAATGTAGCTGTAATGTATGTACAGTATTTCATGTCTAAATAATTTTCTGTTCACTAGAAATGTTATCTAAACACTGTCGACCTTGTCTCAGCTATCATATTTGTTTGGCTATTTACATTGGTCCATAGTCGCTTATTGATAGAAATGTCACGGCGAGAAGTAAGCTAATAACCTTGTTTGATTATTTCAGTGGCAATGTTCTGTCCTTAAACGTGAAAATCTAGCGTGAACTAGATTCAGGTTATTAAACTATACACCTGGATAAAAGCTCTGAAAATAGGTTACGTAAAGTTGGTTTGTCGTCGCGAAACAGAAATATTTCTAATTAAAAATTTCACATTCAAAACTTGTCAATTTTTTAGGTATATCGTCCAAGGTGTAGTTAGAAAGTATACGTAACATTTCATACAGAAATTAGTTTTTTAGGTAATTACGGTGTTCTTAGAAAGTATACGTAACATTTCATACTGAAATATGTTATCACTGAGTACGGTAGTGCTTACTATGTAGGTATGACCCGAGAAAAAAAAAGGCTGCCACATACAATCTATTACATTACAAATAACTGCTAAAATAGGGTTATAGCCTTATTCGAGCATCTAATTGTCATTATCGAGTGTTTCACAACTTGTGACACTCCAAATGTCATTAAAAAGTGTTGCTAAAGTAAAGAACAAAGCACTAGCTAAAAAGTTGGCAAAGTGTTCATCTTTGTTTTTAGTTTTTCCCACGCTAGGAAAAAAAAATGTGAGAAGTTTTCCCAATGGTTTTAGTACGACAGAAATACAGGCTATCACGAAGCACGGCAGTACTTAGTATAAGCTAAAATAAAAATCACAATTCTAGTGTAAACGATGTTATCATTATCCCTTGAAGTTTGCTTTCTTACATAAATATTGTGTTCTTTTAAAAAGCTGAAGTACCATCCAATAATAGATAAACATTAGATGACTGTAACATATAGAATACTCAATGCTTTGTACACTATACAATCGGTGTCATTAGGGAGCCAACTCCAATATTATGTATGAAGTAAAAATGTAAAAAAAAAAAATCAATACACATAATAATAAATTTTATCACACATATTCATAGAATACACTAACTTTCAGTCAGGGTGAAAAACGTCACAAAACAAGTAATAAAAAACATTTTGATAATGTAAAATAATGTAGGGATGGCAGTGCCAAAAAGAATACAAACATTAATATACAGCTATACATTTCTATATGTTCTTTCCTTACTGTAGGTTCCTCAACATTAATTCTCAAGAAGTGATGATTAGTAATCTATTGTAGCCAATTATGTGGTTTAATATCAATATCTGAGGTCATTATACAAGTGCAATAAAGAAACTGACAAAACTGATATCATATTAACAATATATATTACCATTGAATTATGAAAATAAAACAATGTTCACTTATCAACCTACTTCAACGAAATTGTTTAAAACAAAAGAGGAAAAGCAAAAATTAAGTATAATGTAGGGATGGCAATGCCAAAAAGTACATAAAAAAGGCAGGGATTAATACACAAAACCATACAAAAATCACTACATATAAAAAAGGCAGGGATTAATACACAAAACCATACAAAAATCACTACATAAGTAGCCAAATCTTTCCAAAAATGAATTTCATCTACAACTAAATGTTGGATTCCTGTCAGTTGCATGAATGCAGGTTTGAATAAAAGCATTTAAGTTCAATTGTATTATACAGCCTCACAGTGGCTAATGACCATAAGCTTATAAAATCGACTCATTAACTACTGGAAACTTATGTAGAGATTTTTGTATGGT